AAAAAAACCAATAAAATTATATATGAATTCTTGAAAATATATTAACAAAATAGTATAAAACTATAACTTCATTTAAAATAGATAATAAATTCATTTAAACTGCAAAATAATACATAATATTAAATATCATTCTACTTCTTCTTTTTAGTTCATTGACCGTAACTCATGATAACAACTTATAATTTCTATTTGTCCATTTAGTAATGTTAAAATAAAATTCAAATGAAGTTTTTGCTGTATTTTTCAACATATTATTAATTTATTAGATTATATTTTATATTTTTCCAATTTTAGTTTAAGCCATTGTTTTGTAAATTTATAAATGGTTTATGGAGAGAACAATAAGAGGAATATAATAGGTCTCACGAAAAGTGTGGATAATAAACAATATTTTTTAAGTAAATAGTTAAAAATTTTAATTGAATACCATATATAAATTTATATCCAATCGGAGGCTAAGAAAATATATATAAATTTGTCAAATCTGCGATTTTGGTCCTCAAGGTTCAAGTTTCAACTATTTTGGTCAATTAAGTTCCAATTAAAATGAAAAAAATCCTTCAGTGACCATTACTGAAACCAGATGATACTTCAGTGACCGTTAATGCAAGTTTTAAACTTCAGTGACTGTTTTGTAATTTTGACGTAACTTCAGTGACCGTTTGTGAAATTAACTCATTGACTAATATGTTATTTGAATTTGGAAGCTATTTAATAAAGTAACAAAAATTCAAAAAGTAATAAATATTTAAAAAAGTGGCAATAAATTAAAACGAGAACAAATAATGATGAGCATCAACTAAAATTAAGCCATTTGGACGCCAATCTCAAAGTAAAGAAAAGAATTTTGATCGGAAATTACACGTGTTCAAGTTCTATAAAATAAAGTAATAAAAATGTCAAAAATAATTCTGTACGAGAAATTCGAATTTCAAAAATAATGTGCAAGATAAATTAACTTGAGAAGAACAAGAATAATTGGAAATATAGTTGTCATTATACTGTTAACCAACCCGCAATCTTAAATTAGCAAAGGACATAAACACAAATAAAATCAGCCTCCGAAAAAATGGAGAATAAAACCAAAAAAAGAAAAAGAAAAATGACTTCAATCTTGGCTCAACGGGCAAAATGCAATAAGAAAAGGATAAAGAATGCTAAATACTAATTCTCTAATTTCCCATTGTAACCAAACCATTGATTCAATAGAAAGAAACCCCGCTTCAATATGACAAAGAAAACTTCTAAACAAGAAGTGGTTGTTCTCTTTGTATTTCAATTTTGTATTTTTAAATTTTGAATTCATTTTGACTTTTGTGTTTTGAGTATTCATTTTGAGATTGTTGAAAATGTGTTCTTTTGGCATTGTGAAAATACTCAAAACTCGTTTTGAAAATTTTGGTTTGATTATAACTGAAAACACTCAAAACGAAAAATTTGTCGTTTTGATTTTTCTTTGTAAATTTTTAACTTGTTTTCAAAAACGCGTTTTCGAAAATAGGAAAGAGAATGCGTTTTCACTATTTTGGAAAATCAAAAATAGAAAACGACTTGAAAATGGTAAAGAGAACAGGCCCGAAATTTTTACCATTTCCAAATCCTATCAACCCAGATGAACAAATGGAAATAAATGAAAAGGTTAATAAGCAATGACCAACCAAAGCAAATCTAGCAAAATACAAATTCGTGGTACCCTATTAAAAACAAGAAACAAAACAAAGCAATCAAACGTTCAAAACATGTGAATTAAAAAATTCAGAAACTATATATATATAATTATCCTTGGTACGCTATTAGCAAAGAAAATGAAAAAAATAAATAAAAAGATTTGACATCTTCTTTCAGAAATCTTCACGATGGAAGAAACAAATTCATGGAGAAAAGAGAAAATTGAGAGCTTTATGCCAATAATTGATAAAAATTATCAATCACGCCAATGTTTAAACTTCTTCTTCGCATGGGTTAATCGGCTTCTTCTTGGCATGGGTACTGGGTAGGGTTCTCTCAAGTTAAATGTTTGAATAATCGTTGAACTTTGGTACTTGTCACGGTTTAGTCACTGTCCTTTAACACTTATGCAGTTGGCCACTCAACTTTACTCCATCCAACTACGTTGGCCACCGGATGAAAATCGTTAGTAAACTTGCCTACCACCGACTGCCATTACACTGCACCGAAGTTAAATGGTAACTTAGGTGCCACATCAACGTCAAGTAGGCAGTGCCAAACTCGCACTTTGGAGAGAGAATTAACACTCTTTGTCTCCCATTTCCTTCTCAAATCATGTCTCCACGTGAATCAATTAACCCATTAATAGAAACCCCAAATCTCGCACAGCAAATTTTGTTCGAAACGAGTTTTGCTTCAGGTACAGGGAATTTTTTCACAAGAAACTTACGGCACACTCACACATGTGTGCATGTGTGGGTCCCGCACAATTTTTTAATACATGATGGGGCCTGCCATGTGAGTATTCTGTCAAGCTTCTGCGAAATTTTCCCTGTACTCGAGGATTATTTGAGGCGTTCAACCTCTTGAAAGTAAGTCGAAAACAATTTCTTGCACTATTTTCATGAATCGAGACATTGAGAAGACGCTGTGTAGATAGTGAAAGTGACGAAGAGCATATATTACCTTAGGATTTGGGCTTGGCGGAGTAGCTTCTGCAGCTAAAATTTCTGATAGAGAGTAGAACTAGGGCTCTAGAAAATTAGGCAAAACTTTCGGCGAGTAGCTTTCCATCTGGACGGCTGTTTAACCCTGGCCATTGATTTTTCCTTAGCGGGAGCTTCTTCGATTATTTTCTGATATCTTCTCCGGACACTGGAATCTCTCTCATTAAGATGTATTACATTATCGAATTTGTCCCCAAAGATCTACAAATTATAGTTCAGATAAACACAAGTTCAGAGTCACATGTTCCGAATTGCTTTAATTATGATCTTGTTTGTAGGTGAATTTTGGGAGCATGAAGTAGAAGAAATTTATGAATTATATTTAGCTCCTGTTTGAGACCCATTTTTCAAAAATCTATTTTTCTTCAATTTCATTTTTAACCACACATTCTCCAATAAAATAATTTTACATATAAACTCAGAATTTTTCACTACTTTTTAACCACACATTCTCTATAAAATGACTATTATAAAATATATTTTTCACAAAAAAATGGGCTCAAACGGGGGCTTATATTAAATCGGTCGTGATGGATAAATAGACAGTCAATAGCGTAAAAAGGTTGACGAAACCAAATAAGTATACCTGGACTTCTATGTGACTTGGTTTTGTAATATATTTTTCCAGCAAAATTGTGTTTATGCCAAAAGATACAGCAGCCTCACGTTGTGCTCCCAAGAATGAATCAACAAAATCATTAGGATCTTGAACAATTCTCATTCCCTGAAAGTGGCAGAAAATAAACCCCAGATAAATTATGGTTCCAACCCCCATCCATGATCATGTCATTGTATTGATGATCAGTGATAGTGGATCTCCAACTAAGAATAAGTAAACAGAAATGCCTTAAGGTAAATGCTAAATGATGAACCACATGGCAAGATTCAAAATTGTGCATAGCAGGGAAATTTAAGCCTGAAAGCAGCTATATAAGAAGTGCTCTAAACCTCTGAGATTGGTAGGTTTGTGAACCACACCTACCAATTTTGACTGGAATGTTGCATATAGTACCAAATTTTATTACATCTTAGTATTCCAGTTCCATCATGTTTCTCTTGCCATTTCAGCTACAGAAAATTTAAAAGCTAAGAACGAATAAGAAATGGAAAACACAGTTCATAAAAACAAAAGGTGCACAGCAATAAAATACACAAGGCATTACATTGACCATAGTTGTAATCATCAACAAGCTCAGAATCTTAATATTCCAAGAATTATAATAATCATTATACAACACTCAATAAAAGGCACACCTTTCGGTCCTTTCCTCCTCCTCCATGAGTTGGCTTGATTAAAATAGGATATCCAATTTGACTTCATAAAATCAATATGTTGTTCATCACCATGATATCCAGGTACGAGTGGTACTCCTGCAGCACCCATTATTCTCTTTGATGCACTGAACAGACAGTCAACTCTATACTAATTAATAATTACGGAACATGAAAAATTATCATTCATTAGAACTATTTATGAGTTTTGTGATGGGATAAATGTGGATTCTATTAAGCACCAACTGTACATGCATTGAGAAGCTCCTACTATCTTCTTAAACTGAAAAAAAGATAGAAACTCATAAATAAAAGTAATTAACTTAGTACTTAATTTATTTATTTTAATAATTTTTTTAAAAAAAAATTGTTTATGTGAACCCATTAGCTTATTGAATATTAACTGTAAAAGGGACGGCAACAATATCCAAAAAAATATTGTCTATAAAACAAATGGACACACATACACACAGGACAAGAGAGCGGATAGAGAGAAGAGATGGGGGCAAACACATTAGAGCCTAAATATGTAAAGAACAAGATCTATGTCTCATTTCCCAAAATTTAGGTCAGCTTAGTGAATTATTTTCCATCGAGCCACCACCATATCTACCAGAAAGTCCAAAGAAATGTAATCTTCTGCAACCACACTAAGTTAAGGTTAATTTTAATTGCCTGTACATATACCAACACGTTGTACTGGAATTAAAGACAACGTTGTTACCAAAATGAAACATTCCAGTATAAACAATAAAAGAAAAAAATAAGCAACAAAAAATTGACATAACAAACACCTAAAATTGGAAGCTAAAATTATCCAAAAATCTACAAATAGAAAAGTTTCTTTATAAAATAAGATTACCCTTCATGAAAGCAAATATGAAATATTACCAGTGTTTCAATTCTATACTACTCCATAGGTCTGAGCCGAATCGAGGCTTCTTCACCTTATTTTCTCCACAAACACTATAATTATAATATTACCGTATACGTGTGTGCGCGTACACGATTGAGAGTAAAAAAATTACCTCGGGACTCTTGGTGATGAAGATAAACCGTACAATAGAAAATTACTGCCTTAGGAATTTAAGCTATAGCAGCAGATCGTTGAAGTTACGCATTTGAATGCAAATAAGTTTTTTTAAGATTAGGAAACTTACAACAATTCTTTTCAAGTTGAACTTATTCTCTTTCAACAAAAGTAGTAATAGAATATGGAAAATATGGAAGATATGGAAAATAACTAATAATTAGAAGCAAAAGTTCTGGTTGATTAAATAGACCCTTACAGCAAGAAAGCCAAATTTGATGTTTCCAGTTTTGAAGTGCTAAGACAAAAAATTCACTTGCTTTAAAAGTAAATTCATGAATATATTCACACGTGTACATCTTTCTATACAAATGGACAAAAAGGACTCAAGTTGCTCATTGAAAATTACAAAGCTAAATCAGTGTGCTAGAAAAAACCATTCTCACAATATGATGGAGTGATTATAAGAGCTAAGAAAAGTTAAATGAGTGAAATACCTAACAGCAACAATCTTCAGTGAATTAAACATTTGTCCAGCAGGCAATGTTTGGTCTGTCTCAATCTTTATCATTGAAGGTTTTATCTGAATATTTCCTGGTTGAAGCTGCAGTAATTGAGTATTAAAAATGTTAGAAGTGCAAGAAAATGTACTTACAGCTCTTAAAAAAAATAAAGTCACTTCGTAAAAAACAATAACAAAACTCACAAAAAGTTATCATGTGATTTTGGACTCTTCCAAAGGGTGAAAATGGCTATAGACGCGCCTGTAAGATAACTATGAATGAATGGCCTGGTGCATATGGTTAAATTCAATTTCCCCTACAATTCCCACTTAAACGATGAGGCAAATCCATTATAATATTAATTATAATTTGAGCATTGTAATACATAATAAAACAAATGACATTACAAAGATGTCCCAGTGTAACGTTCAAATATCACAGAATAGAAATTCAATTTCATTTATTTTGAACCAAGATTAAATAAATAAAGTATTTAACCGATATTCGATTTTAGTGAATGACCCAGGGGAAGAATACTCCTACAAAAATGAACGGAATATACTCATAAGTCTTTTATGTTCAAGAAGAGAGTTGATTTGTTTGAAATGAACATCGTTCCACAACAAAACTTTTTTCTCCTCTATCATACCCATGATGTTCTGTCCATTGATCAATAAGACGTCAACAGAACTCTCATGTGAAGGCAAGTACAACCATGAACAATCTTTTACCAAAATTATTAATCATAGTTGGTAAAATCGGTTGCTTATTTAATTAAAATAGAAAGGGGCAAATTTATTTGCTAAGGATGTGTATCAACATATAGAAAGTAAAATAGTATATGAAACTAAGTATACAACCCAGCTCCAGCGACCATGGAATGATCTCGAAACCCAAGCTACCAAGTACCACCTACCGTTGGTTTCGTCAAACCCTAATCCATCGCCACTTGCATCCTGTCGGGTCAAACACAATCATCAATGACAGCCGTTCCATCATCTATAAAACGAACACATGAAAACTTAACCCAAGCATTAACCCATCACCAACTGCTTTCAGTTCCAGCACTACAGCACAAAAATAGAAAAAAAATCTACACAAAAGGAAGAAATTGAAGGTATGATAATTAGACTTACAGATATGTCTCAATTTGTTCAAGTTATATTTCGAAATAATCAAAAAATATATAATTTTAGGAGTAGTGATAGTGATTTTGTGAAAATAATCAAAATATATATAATTATGAGAATAAATTACTATTTCTTTGGTCGTAGTACATGTTAAAGATACATAGTGTTTCAGGATAATGAAAAGAGAAGTATATTCATATTTGAAAATGGGTATTTATGTGACGTAATTACTGGCAAGTATGGATGACTAAAAATCTTATTTTGCATTAGGAAAACTGGAGGAAGTAAAAACCAATTAATCATCGAATTTAAATTGCTAGCATGTTGTTCAATTGCATTGACCATGAAGTGAAGACAGTAAAAGCACTGACCTGCAAAACATGATCAATTTGCTCGCTTCACTTTTGGTTAGTCTCTCCATCATAATAGAGCCATAGGATCTATTTTCTCAGGGATTTTCTGGTTCCTCTGCAACAAATATATCAATAAGTTAAACAAATAAAACTAAAAATTTATATTGAATAGCTTTGCATTTATTGTCATCAACCTAGATGCATGGAAATCAGATTTCACTAATCCTTGCCATAAACAATTTCTTCCAACTCCTCCTCGAGAGGGGGGAGAGATTTTTGGTAAATACAAAATTAGATGAGAGTTGTAAATCAGCTCACAAATATCATTCAGTTCGGATATCTCGAAATTCTAAATCCAAAATTTAAACTAATGAAAGAATTCCATGTTCCCGTATGCAAGATTTACAGTAGGTAAGCATCTCAACCAGGCAAGGACTACCTGCTAGTAACATTCGGTTTCCGAGGGTGAGTTCGACTCTCTAAATTTGGGGAGTCAAAACTTGATATTACACAACTAAAATCCGCATTTTTTACATCTCCATTCTTTACTATGTGCTAGAAAATGTATCTACTTATACTACGGATACACTTAGCTATTCCCACTGAGTTTACCAAGTGAACACTATTTTTAGAGAAGTAATTTTATCAGAGTCAAATGAGCTATTGAGCGACTGAGTTACATCGAAAATGAACTCAATAAGCTTCCATTTTCCATTTGTGCTTGTAAAAAAAGAGAAATTAACTGGCAAAGTATTAAAAGAAACATAACTTAAAAGCCAATCTCAATAGAATTAGTTTTTAACATCAATGAAATGTAAACATACCACAGATGGGGAAGACGCCTAAGGTAATCCCTAAAGCCCTTGAAAATGCCTATTGCTTAAGGTCCGCCCCCGATCAATTTGTTAATGAAAACAACTAATTTATGAAATAATTCAGTAAACTAAAATCAACCAAAGGTCATTTCCACTAAAAAAAAAATAATACTAATCTTTAAATTGCATTCATAATCCTAAATGAAAATGACATCCGAAGAATTTGGAGAAGCGGGTTGATGATCCTCTTCCGAATCCGTGGTCCTAACTTGAATTCCCAAGAAGCCCGTCGGCCTCCGCAGTACTCTGAAAATTCCAAATGTCTACAGTACCAATTGAAGAAAAAATTACTCACCATATTCCTAAGCAGTTCCAGTAATCAGTTTCTCTATTTGATCTAGTTTCTTAAATCCAAAAGATGTGCAGAAGGTGTATACGATCAGTGCTGGTATTTGGAAACGCTAAAATCCAGCCGCTATAACCTTTCTGGAAAAAATCCAACCGCTATACCTTTGATTCATAGGAAAAGTGTCCATTCACTTACCAAAAAATCTTGTTTAAATCATTCTTTGGACACACTCTTTCCCGAAGACGAAACTTCAAACCTCGGATCAAGTA